TTTTTTCTCATTTTAGTTTGATCTAAATTGAAGATTATCAAGAGCTAAAGCTAGAAGTGAATCTGATCTATTTATCTGTATAGTCCAATGGAGCAGGGATACAGAGGACTCCATAAAAAAGACAGAAGACTGGCAACCAGCAGGCTCTGATTTTTATGATTTACGTGTCAGGTTTTCTTGGGGGAAAGAGGGACAAACAAAAAAATAGAACTCTTCTGCCAGATTCATCTCCAAAATATTTAGTCCTCAGGAATGTCTGTGGTGTTTGAAATATTTTGAATATTTACATTAAATAAGATTCAGGGATCCAGAAGATTTCAAAATGTTACCATTAGAATCCTTAAGGTTATAAGAGCCTGGATGCTTATCAGTTTGTTGGAAAACTGAGGTCTATGTGATACTTAGGATGCAGCAGGATTTCTGTTAATTGTACATATGAGTACTAAATGAAAGAAAAGACTTGTTTTATCCTAGTCTTCACAGAGCCAGATTTGGCTATGCTTTAGAATTTTGCATGAGAAAGCAGAAAAAAATAGGTGAAGGAATGCATTTCTGAGGTACAGTTCTTTAGAAGAAGCTAAGTCGCAAAGCAGATCATGAGTCATATTGATATACAGGAATTTATTACCCAGATGAAGGAAAAAGGAGGAAGGTTATTTTAAATGAGCAGTTCCTATTGGTACTCGTATCATTTAAGCAGCTAGAACCTATGGGAGGAAAAATATTTAGTAAATCACAAGTAGCAAAACTAATCAACACAATTTTACTATAACAAATTATATCCTGCAGACCTTTGAGACCCACATTGATTCTGAATGCAAAAGAACTAAGGGATTAAGTGTATTTTCTAAAATAAATTTAAATGGCTCTTTTTATCCTGTGTATTCTTTTCCAAAGTACAGCCTTGAATCAGAGCTGGACTCAAAGAGAAAAAAGGGGAGGGGGTCTAGGTTATTTGCATGAAGGTATTGTTTGAACATGTGTATCATTCAGCTCTAGAAAGGCATTGCATTGAGGTCACAAAAGGATTGTTACTGAAAATTTCTGTGTATGAAAATGGACAAGAATCCCCCTTAATCACATCATGGCTCAGCTGTCAGAGGTCTGATGAGCTTACTTCATGTTGAACTTATGTTTCTTCGTGTTGCAAACCATGATATTTCCTTTTTGAACTTTCATATTAAATGCTGTGTTTATTTTTTTAAAGCACAACTCAAAGTCAATATTAATTTAATAATTGTACGTTTTTATTGATATTTACTGACTGTCCCAAGCACTTGACAATGGAAACCTTGTTCTTTAACTCAATGTTGTAACTGGGTATATCAGTGAACACGTTCTCATGCACAAGTTTTTAAAAATCATTCTTACTAATGTCTGAAATAAAATTTAAAAACAAAACAAAAAAGAATAGATCAGGTACTGATGTTGCAATTTAAACCTATTTGAATTTTCTAATGTCCTTCAATTTTTCATAGCTTTTAAAGGTATGGTTTTATGCATATTTTAATCTTGTTGACTATATCTGCCTAATAATAAAAATAATAATAAAATTAAATTAAACCTGATTAAAAAAAAAAAGTCTTTAAAGATGTGGTGGGGAATAGTTGTCATTTCTGGCTTTCTTGAAGGTCTAGGACAGTATCATAAGAAACCCATTTTTACCTGTCATGTCTTTGTCATGTTTGTCCCACTTCCTTTTTACCTTAGTCTTGCTGGCCTGTTCTTGGGAGATGCCCTACGTATGAGAAATTTCAATCCACTACATTTTTTCCTTTCTACAGTCAGCCCTCCACATACAAGAAGCAGCACTCCATGCCAGCACTGGCTGACTCTTGTGTTCCTATGAACTGTGGATCATTCTTTATTCTGAAAACAGATCTCATTGCTGCCAGTAAAAGCTTGCTTATGTACATACCAAATGAAGCTAGTGGAGTTTTTTGTTCCAAATAAAGTGTGTTATAGAATTTCTTTGGCCCTATAGAAAATGTTCTTGCCCATCAACGTTAAGATTTCAATGCACTCTCATCTAACCAGAGGTCATTACTCAGAACATACTCTATAAAGTGGGGAATAACCTCCATTTCTACTGAAACCGTATCTTTCTGTATCATGTGCAATACAGATGTAGTAGCAGGCTCTCTGTAAGCGTTCAGGTCTCAGTTGACAGAGAAATTTAGGAGTTCACAGTGAAATTTAGGTCTTTAAGTCCTATTGAAACACATCCTGAGTGTCTTTCAGGACCTAGTACTCCTTTCTTACACGCAGAAAAATAGGCACACTGCAACAGACCAAAAATATCCTAAAGGAGATGCAGGATTTCTATGATTGCATTTATGAGATTTAGCTGGTTTGGTGAAGGAGAGCATGGATTAGTGTGTTGATAAAAGGTCTAATGGGTGAGCAGAATGCCTTGCTAACTGATCTTAAAAAAGAAATTGTTTTTGTAGTGAGCTTGACTCAATTACTTTTGTTATTGTTCTCCCCAAACCAGCAGGTCTGCTTTCCTGCCCTGCGAATGTAGATGTCTCTTAGGCTTAAAAGAATGGGAGAACTTTCAGGAAAGGGACCTATCCTTTAGATTAAGAAATTGGGAAAACAGCTGACCTGCGTGACCCCAGCCTACATTAGTCATCAATTTATTATTAATAAACAGATCAAAAATCATTGTTTTGTTAATATTTCTCTCTTTAGCTTTAGGTGGTTTTTTCTTTGTTGTTTATATTACCTCAGCTGCTCTTTATCAATTTTTTTTCTTAGATCCTGCACTGAACATGATTCAAGTTTTATGTTTATGAATCTGTATTCATAGAAGTACAGAACTGACTATTGGTACTTTCTGTTGGTGCTGATATGAATTATCAGAACTGGGAATGTACTTAAAGGTAACTTAATGTCTGTGAGTGACTCCAAGCCACCACGGTACATTGTTTAATATTATTTGATGAACGACTGACAGAGTGTGTTTCCAATATTTTATCTTTTCCTTCTAGTTCATCCGAGTAACCAATTGTACATGGCAGGCATCTGAGGTGGGACAGAGAAACTGGTACATCAGTGTGTGTCAGCTAGTGATTAATTAGATCTTTCTACAACGGGGAATAGCAGTTTCCCACAATGGATCTGTTACATGGAAGGAAAAAAAGTAGATGACTTTCCAGGAAGGTAATAAGGAATCAGGCCAGTAAAGCTGCTCTTAAATGTTTTTGCTTTGTTTTGCCTGTTGCCCCAAATAAGCAGCAAGGCTCCTAAATGTTTGTTATAGTTGGAGATATTAACCCAAATCCAAATTGCTGTTTTCCTTACAGCTGGACTTAAAGAGATACAGATAATGATTCTTACAAATACCCCTTAAGATTAGGTCCATGCTTTATTACATGTGAATCCTTGTGGGATTATAGCCGGTGTGTTGCTATAGTGCCTCTCACTTGTTCCAGAATGTCAGCAGTAACAAGATGATGCTGGAGAGGATAACTGCGGTCAGCAGGTACCTCATACAGACTGGCAGCATTTCTGAGCAACACTTACACAGTAAGGATTATCGAGCACATGAGATTTACCAGTCATACTGCTGGCAGTATGAAAGTGTCTGCTGTTGACTGGGTGGAGCATCCTGCCAGCTGTTAGTCATATATATTTTTTTCCTTGATGTGTCTTTACATTGAAAAAAGATTCCAGCATCTGTTTCAGAAAGTCAAATAAATATGAAGTCACGTTAGGTTATTTATATGTGGGATTTTAAAAGCAGTACTGCAAATTGTGCAGAGCAGTTGCTGACTCTTGGACTGCCATTTATTCAAAATATGTATTGGAGCACTACTGATCTACTGAACTTCTGCTTATGGTAGCATTACATCAGTAAGCTGGGGGTTTACTCTAGTTTTCTACAATATTACAATGAAGTTTGCAAAAGATGCACTCTTTTTACGTCTATCTGACTGAAGAGTTTTTATAAAAATAATACATGAAGCAAAAACTGAAATGAGTCAGAAAGTCACTGTAGTTGAAGAAAATGAAAAAGCAGAATGATGGCACTTGTTTACTGTCACTCCTAACACCGTCAAACTGAGCTGCTCCTTTCTACTAGAGGTTGGCCCAACCCATCTGACCCGTACAATTTTTTCAGCAGCCAGGGAATTTGGACAGAGATCTTGTATGAATCCTGTTCCTTTCTGTACTGTGCAAGTGATAAGGGCTTTTCTCCAAAACACACTTTACTGGATAGTTCTATCATCCATCAACACGGAACAATGGAACTGCATTTGCCAGAATTTACATCTTGGGTAATTATTTCTGCTTTCATTTAAATTAGTTTCTAAGCTTCTGTTTCTTCTGGCAACAGGCCCAAGTCTTTGGTAACTGGACACAAGCCTTTGCGTATCATTAATTAGCAGCTCTTCCTCTTAAATTTTACTTCCCTTTTTTTCTATCTATCTTCCCACTCTGAGGGTTTTTTAAACTCATTCTATTACATCCTTTCAGCATCAATTTCTTATTATTTCTTCCATTCTTTTTTTCTGTTTACTGGGTTTCTAGTCCTAACACATCTTTTACTACTGCGAGAAGGCTTATAAAAATACTACTTACCGTGTGTTTGTGTGACTGATATATTGTGCCATGTCCTTGTGCAGTCAGATCTAGAGTCTGATCAAAATGTTTTAACTCATGTCACTGAGTTCACTCAAGGTCTTATGTCCCAGACAAATTACACATGCCTTCTAACCAGTCTGGATAAACAAATACTCTGAGGAGAATCTGGGATATCTTCTTCATAGGATTTAACTTCTTCGACCTTCCAGAAGCTCAGGCAATTGGATGTATAACTATTCTCCACCTTACTAAAGATAAATCTCTCTCTTTTCAAATATATATGTATACACACGCGCACTTATTTATTTATCGCTAAATAAGGTCATTAAAAAAACAAAAAAAACCTAGGATGTTTTAACTATTTCATTGACTTTTCAGATTGTTTTTAAGCTGTTTTTTAAACTTTAAAGGCAACACTGATAGTGAACGGTTCCAAATGGTAAAACAGAAAATCCCCTTCAAATATAACCGGCCCGTAGAGGAGTGGCTGCAGGAAAAAGGTAACACTCATTAAAACTTTCATTTTAAACCCATTTGATTCTAAACCCTCATTTTTAAAGCCTGCAAATAAATGTTTCTTAAATGATAATCGCCTGCTGCATAAATGACTGTTTTAATTTTCATTATAATTTGTGTCAGCTTCCACCTGCCATATGTTGATAAATCATGCTATAATACATTGCTATTAAAATGCAGTTAAAGGGACGAAATTCTAAGCTTGCTATCATAGTAATGAAAAACAAACAAGCAAAAATTCAGGAGATGTTTTCTAAAAAAATAAAATGAAGAAGAAAATCGAAGAGCAATAACATGTATTATGGCAATTTAACCGCTGCATGATTTTCCTATTTTGATTTGTTTTTAAACGACATTTATATCTTTATTATCAAAGTTTTCTTAAAAAAATTTCAAACATACTTGTTAAACCACTTCCTGTAAGGTTTGTTTTCTCATTAGTCTGATTAGCTACTATGGCTATGTGTTTCCTAGTGTTCTATTAAGAGAATTAAACAATTTTAAAAGATGTTGTAAAGAAAACATTTTTTAACATTTTCATTTAAACTACAATGAGGGAGACAGAGAAAGATGATTGTTCTGTCGCTTTTATGCTATGTCTGGAGTACAGTTTGAACACTCAAATGATACATTTGTCTAAGTTATGGGTCAAATTCTTCCCTAACTTAATCTCAGGCAGCGCTACTTAATTTTGTGGGTTTGCCTGGAGTAATTGGCCTCAGCTCAGCAAAAGACTTGTTAAAATGCATAAATCCAGCTGGCTTGAGTGAGAGTTCTGCATACATTCAGTGACCTGTTGAAATGGGACTTGTGTCAGAACGGTAATGTTCTTTTATCAGGCATTTGGAGGGGAAAAAAAAATCTTGGATGTAGAGCCCATTCCAAACCCTGTTGAAGGTAACAGAATAACTCTTATTGATTTCAGCAGGGTTTGGACTGCGCTCTTGGTAATACAGTGGAGCATAAGTCAGGAAGATCTTTTCCCTCTATACTGAATGTGGTATTTAAAAAAAACCCCAAACAAACCACTGTAAGTAACTCCTTGCCTTGAAGTCTAGAAAGCAGAACACGATCTTCTCTTGTTTCCTTTTAAGAAAGTACTGCTGATAAAAGGGGGTGACCTTTGAACTCAGATCTTGCATTTTCTGTGCTGACTTAGACTTATGGTTGTTAAAAAAATTTTCTGAGAGGGAAAACCAATGTTTTGTGGGATTGGAAAAATATAATTTATGTTCTGTTTCAAACTTCTATCCTCAGCTGAATTAACAAATTGATTTAGCCAGTATGAATTAAGTTAAGGACACAAAGGATGTGGATAACTACAGTCAAAATATTTTTATGTGAAGGGTCTGATCCTGCAAAGTGTTGTGCACACTCAGTTCCCGTTGACTTCAATGAGAGCTGACAGTGTTGCCCACTTTTCAGGTTTGGTCTACAATGGTGTAATGCTTGAAACTAAAGCTAAATTATTTGTGAAAGTAAGACAAAAATATTGGTAAATAAAACAAATATTTTTTGACCACCAGGGTTTTATGGAACAGTTAATTCAGCTAATTTGTAAATAAATTTTAAGATAAAGGTATACAGAAAATGCTTATTGAGTCTCAGTGGGTTGCCCAGTTAATTTACAAGATCAAACTAAAATAAATAAATAAAGCTTAACACTAAAAAGAGGATAATTTTGGTAAGTTTGAATTGCTAAAGTCCCTTTAACACTAAAGACAATGATTGCCTCAATTTTGTTAAAACAGATGCATGTCTAATTCCTGATGCAATTCATGTGCTTGAGAACCCCACCTTTGTTTTCTTTTGTTTTTGTTTTGTTTTGTTTTGTTTTTCCTTTTTGGTTTCCCACCAAATCTTTTATGTCACTGCTTCTCCAAGTTTGAGCTTATAAGCATGCCAAGGCACTTTCATTTGTAAGCCATTCTGAAGTTTTGAACTGAAGTCTACCTTTTGTGGATATTGATGCTTTGTTAAAAGTCAATCACACATGCAGTAAGGTCTACATTTGAGCGTTCAGACACTCTGAAAGCACTGGATGTTTTTAGGCTAGAAGGGTAGAGCCATGTTTTTACTGAAGTGAAAGGAAATTCAGTCTTCACACTTTGTGTTAGGGAATTATATTGTGCAGTGTAACACCGGAGACAATATAGCTTTGTTCCTTCTTTCCAAAGTAGATAGACATTTTCAGCAACTTAGGTACCACTTAAATTAAAAAATAATAAGAATTAATAATTTACCTAGCTGTTCACCAACCTGCTCATCCATCTGGTCATCCATCCAACAATTAATGTAACATGGAAACCTTCTGTCAGAAGACTTTATAAAGATGATAAGTGAAAGGGTAGCTTGCTATCAAAATGGAACAACATGAACTGATGGATGGAGGAATAGATAGATTCATCAAAGAGACAGCATACAGAATAGCTGTCTTGCCCATGAGTTCTTGGCTTGAGTGAGGTAAGATGAAACACTTTTCGACTGACATTTTTGAATGCCATAGATTTGGTCGTCTTTTGGTACCACTGTTACATTATTCATAATAATGAAATAGTTCATTCTTGGAAAACAAATATAACACAACATCTTTCTGAAGTGGCATCCCTACTGTTGGGGGGGGGTGTTAATTTTATAAATTGGTTTAAAATATTTTTAAGAGGAGCTCAGGTTTACAATCTTTAATTATATGAGTAATAAGCAAAACATTAAGCACTATTAACTTCACTGAGATTATGTATGTGAGTAAAAAAAAAAAGTAATAGTCCTAAATTCTTCAACTTAAGTAGTCATAAAACCAGCAGATTTCCTTAGCAGAATACGTGGTGGCTGCTAAGGCACAGATGTTACCCTATTCTGCATTGGATGAGCTAATAAAGACCCAGAAGCATCTCGTCAAAAGGACTGATCCTGGAAGTCCTTAATCCTTCAAATCTCTCTTACTAACATGTGAAGTCTTGTTGATGTGAGTGACAGTTCAACTTAAGTAGTCATAAAACCAGCAGATTTCCTTAGCAGAATACGTGGTGGCTGCTAAGGCACAGATGTTACCTATTCTGCAATTGGATGAGCTAATAAAGACCCAGAAGCATCTCGTCAAAAGGACTGATCCTGGAAGTCCTTAATCCTTCAAATCTCTCTTACTAACATGTGAAGTCTTGTTGATGTGAGTGACAGTACTTTTGAAGCAGGAACTATTAGTGTGAATTAGGATTTGCAAAATCAGGCCCAAAATCTCTACTGGTGTTACAGAAAAGTTGCACTTCACTAAGATTTCTCTGTGATATTTTTACTTGGTATTCAGTTTTCCAAATGAAGAAGTCAATGAGAGAGCAAACAAAGAAATGAGAGCTTGAACTATTCAGAATATTTACAAAACACCTCAGAAACTTAAAATATGCTCATCATTTTTCTCCAGTATGACACTAAAATAGCAGTAGGAAGAGTTCTCTGTGGAAGAGAAGGACTGTAAGTCTGCAACCCTTACACACCTAGTAGAATTCACTAATGTAAACAGTTCCTCAATAAAATTCAGTGGCCAAATAAATTTTACTTAGGGGAAGTAAGGGCTTCAGAACCATATCATCAAAAGAACGATTAGAAGAGACCTATGGTGACAGAATTAAGTGTATATTCTCTCAACAGTTTTCTCTCATTCCACATGCATTTCCCTGTTGTCTTTATTCATGCACGTGTACACCATCGTAGAGAGAAGAATGAGGAACGATAGGTTGTAGGTGACTCCAACAAGTGAGTGTTCTTTTAGCAAACACAGTTCTAGTACCAGTGCTGTCTCCAGCGTTAACCATATGGTGCAGTGCATGAATCCTGGATGGGAAGACCTCTTAAACAGGGAAGACCACAAAACACAGAATCAAAGTTCCTTTTTTACTGGAGTGGGGCCACCTCCTCAGTGTACACTTTCTTTCAGCATTAGAAGATGCCGATGAAGGCCCAGAAATGGAGATGTGATCTTTTTTTCAGCCTTAATATACTAACTCCTCATTCTTGAAAGTAAAGCAAGAGATATGACAGACATATCTAAAGCTGTGCTATGAGCTTGGGTTAGAATACATGACATCCTGAGGAGAGTCATCATCCTCCAGTAAAAGTGAGGGAATCCCTTTTCTATCCTGGCTTGGGGAGCTCTCCTAGCTGGAACAGCAAAAATTCTCTTTCCTCATCATCACCCACGCCTTTTCCCTTTGGTAAAAGATGAAAAAAACAGACATTATTGATTCAAGGAGAGAAAGGAATGGAAATGGAAAGCTTTGAGTACCTTCCCTCCATTTTCAGGGGTGACATCTCAAGATTAGTGAAATAACTCCCTGTTCTTTACTTATCTCACCTCTAACTTTCGGCACTCTATCATGAGTGAGGTGGGAAGAAGAGAACAGTAGCAAGGGAAATGTCTGGGTACATAGGGGCTGGGACAGTACGGAAAGAAATATAGTGCTAGAGGGAGGGAACGTGTGAGGCGGAGGGAAAATGGTGTAGTAAAGAACTGACAGCATATCCATTAAAAAATCCAAAGCACAACAGGACAGAGAAGAAAAGCAAACTAAGGACAGGGTATATGGCAAGAGTTTGACCTTCTACAGCATACAGTGCCATTCCCTCTAGCTTAGACATGAGCTGGGCTGAGAGGGCTCACTATTTTGACAGATATTGTTATTGGATCCTATTTTCTTCATAGACAAGAGGAAAGGCTCTGTTTTACATGCTTGAGGGTGTGTGGCTTCAGTGCATGTTTATTGATGTTTTAATAGACATACGTTGCCTCTGGTAAGTTTAAAACCTCCTGAGATGCAGAATATTGCATCAGGTGTTTCAACACTTTCCAGGGGAAGGATACTCTCCATTTTTATTTCTCATTTCTTCATCAATGCAGTTACTCCACCCTGATCAAGTCCTAGTGTTTTATTTACAATTCTGTGGGTGAGGAGCACAAGGGATGTGCAGCCCACCTCCACGTGTCCGTATGTTACAGCTCTCCATACACTTTTGCTTAGTTAGCTAGGGCCCTCTTTGGGGACAGGAACTCCTTTCAGATACATTTCTTCTCTTGTCCCCATTCTCTTCCCCATGGTCAATCCTGTCACCATAAGATGATGCAACACCGCATCACCACTTGGCTTCGAGACCCGTCACGACGACCACCAAAATTGGTGAGCTCCCCCTCCTATTTTGATCTACTCTAACCACTGGCTGTGAAGGAATGAGCAGTGGGTTATAGGCTGTGCTTTGCTACATGGTGGCATTTTGCACCTCTCATCAGGGTGGATTAGAGAGAGGAAGTGGTGAGTGAGAACTGGGGAACGGGAATGGGATGGGGACACGTGTTGCAAACTTCATAAAAATGGGAATTTTATTTGAATGGGAATAGATATTTGAATGATGATTGACTTGATGCTGCACTGATAATGCTTCTGAGCTCTGCTCAGTCTGGTGGTCTGTTAATTCAACAGATTCCAGGTGGCATGCCCCTAATCTTCTGAGGAACAGTGAAATTATAGGCACTGCCTTTGCAGTGCATGAAACAATTTATTTCTTAATATAGTCAACCTAGTGCAGCCTGGGACATAAGCAGTATTTGTAGAGCAGTCCAGGCTGAATGTGATTTAAGTGTTCTGCAAAACTAGGTGAATTGGCAATTGTTACTAGATTTAATAAATATATTTTTCATTACATATTATATTAGACCACTCCTAACACTCAAGGTGTGACCTTGAGTAAACCACTTAACCTGCCTACATTTGAATTTCACTGTCTGTAAGAGGGGAGTCACATGTAAGGCATTCTGGGGCCTAACCATCTGAAGCACTATGTTATCCTCGCTATTTCAAAAACTTTGCTCTTTCAGAGACATCACAGATGTTTGCATTTGGTGTTTCTTGGTTTTAGATTTGCGAGCCTTCACAACAAAAAATTTACAGGTGGAAGATCATGACTGGTCCTGTCTTAAGATTCCTACACAATCCTTATATCACCATCAATTTTTTCTGATGTTTTACTGTCCTCAAGCCACCCCTTAAAACCTTTGCATTATTAAAAGTGCCTTTATGAATTAATCCCATCCTTTGACCAGTCAAAATAGAAGGTTTATTTATGGGCTAAAGCTTGACAGGTACTGCAATCTGAATTGATAGTAGAAAAATAGCCACATGTTGAAGCCTTATTTCTAGTTTGAAATGGGTTCAACTCTAAAAGAGTGGGTTCAGATTTCTGACTGAGTCAAAGCTCCTGAAGAGTTTTGATGTGTGAGTGGATGCTGAAGTATGAGGTTCAGTTTTAGCTGTTCTTGCTTTCAGGCTAATCTTCCTTATTAATGAGCTTTAGGCAGTACATTTCCATACTGTATTTCTACAGTCATCATAAACGCTACCAAGAATGAATCTACTTCTTCGTTGTCCATCATTTCTGACCAGGACTCAATGTAAGATGCAAAGTGAAGGAAATGTCTGGCAATAATGTTATTCACCCCCCTTCACTAGGACGACAGTTAACGATCTTCAACACCCAGGCGCAAATAGCCATAGGAGGGAAGGACAGAGGGCGTCTCTTCCAAGGCCAGCTCTCCGGTCTCTATTACAATGGCTTGAAAGTGCTGAACATGGCAGCGGAGAACAACCCCAACATTAAAATCAATGGAAGTGTCCGACTCGTTGGGGAAGTCCCTTCCATCTTGGGAACAACACCCACAACCTCCGTGCCACCAGAAATGTCTACTACAGTCATGGAAACCACAACTACGATGGCCACCACTACAACCCGAAAAAATCGTTCACCACCCAGCATCCAGGTGAGTCAATTAGCCTCCTGCATTTCCTTGGGTTCTTAATTAGTCTTTTGTTTTGCTGCTTACTTTTAAGTTCACGGGAACCATGTTCTCTGAATCATGCTCCATGTAACTATTTTAATAATGTTGTATAGGGTAAATCAGCACAAAATGTTGTCCTCCTGTGTTGGTGAACAAACAGCTGAATGAATTATTATGGCACATGTATGTGGCCATAATGGGGACAGATTTTGCTCCTGTTCTAGTGCAACCCCATTTATGTAAGTAGAATTGCCCCAATGTGAATGAGAACATGATTTTAACTATGTTTCCACAGTTCCATATGTGGGGAAATGTATTCCTAAGAGACTTACAAAGCTTAATGGAGGGTGGGTGTACAGTTATTTATTATTATGACAGCAGGTACTGCTGCAACAGTAAAGTTCATAATGGGGAGAAAAGCAATGGAGCATTACTTCCAGGTAGAGCCATTTTTCATTTTCCTGTTATAGCCTTCCTGTAGAAAATTTTAAAGGAATGCTATCAAGATCACTTTCTTGCAAAAATGTAGATGTTCCAACGTACAGCAGTTCCAACATCTTTGGTAAAAATCATTCCTACAAAAAAAAGTTTCAGATAGTCTGGCTTAATTGTGCCAATATAGTGTTTTCAGTCCTAAAAATGCAGTGGTTTTGGAACCACTTGTGTGGCAGCCAGAATATGGTACTGATTAAACACCTTAAATTGGCTCTCCTTGTCTGTGCAAAGAAAAGAATCATGCAAATAACCAATCTGAGCAGTGGACCAGATTTTGAAAATTATTTATTTCAGTGGCATACTATCATGTTATCAACTAGGATGAAACATTTGTTTTAAAATCTTTATTTACATCAGAACCTCATCCTGTAGAAATTGACATACTTTCATTGACACCAGCATACACTGGCTGAGTCACTGGAGAATGATTATCAATCAGAGTGTGCCTTTATTAAACCTCCAGAGAAAGGTATATTGTTGTCTAGTTGGAGAAAAATATTAAATTATTCCATCTGCTTCCCTGAAACAATTGCTGCTGCTTGGGACGGAAGACCTTAATGAAATCAAGGACTTTGAAACCTGTAATCATACAAGTTGCATGCTTGCTTTCTAACTGCTTCAGAAAGTTTAATCAGTTATTGATTGTGTTTGTATATATATGACCATTCTCTTTATTTTTTATCTAGTCCTGGTCACTTAGGATAAGAAAACACAAAAATTGTCCTCTTAATTGCGTAGGAGGTCAGGCCACACCTGGAGTATTGTGTCCAGTTCTGGGCTCCTCAGTACAAAAGAGAGATGGAACTACTGGAGAGAGTCCAGCAAAGGGCCTCTCAGACGGTTAAGGGACTGGAGCATCTCTCCTATGAGAAAAGGCTGAGACAGCTAGGACTGTTCAGCCTGGAGAAGAGAAGGCTCAGGGGGGATCTTATCAGTGTACATAAATACCTGAATGGAGGGTGTAAAGACGACAGTGGTGCCCAGTGACAGGACCAGAGGCAATGGACACAAACTGAAACACAAGAGTTTCCCTCTAAACATCAGGAAACACTCTTTTACTGTTAGGGTGACTGAGCATTGGTGCAGGTTGCCCAGAGAGGTTGTGGAGGATGGAACTACTGGAGAGAGTCCAGCAAAGGGCCTCTCAGACGGTTAAGGGACTGGAGCATCTCTCCTATGAGAAAAGGCTGAGACAGCTAGGACTGTTCAGCCTGGAGAAGAGAAGGCTCAGGGGGGATCTTATCAGTGTACATAAATACCTGAATGGAGGGTGTAAAGACGACAGTGGTGCCCAGTGACAGGACCAGAGGCAATGGACACAAACTGAAACACAAGAGTTTCCCTCTAAACATCAGGAAACACTCTTTTACTGTTAGGGTGACTGAGCATTGGTGCAGGTTGCCCAGAGAGGTTGTGGAGTGTCCATGCTTGTAAATATTCAAAAGCCATCTGCACATGGTCCTGGGCAACTGGCTCCGGGTGACCCTGCTTGAGCAGGGGAGGTGGACCAGATGACCTCCAGAGGTCCCTTCCAACCACAACCATCCTGTGATTCTGTGAGGTACCTCTGGCTGCAGTGGAATTTACAACTATTAGAGTAATTAATTCCAAACCAAGGTTTAACATTGCCCCCTTTGGTACTCTGTACATCCAGTTGGCAGCAGGACTGGGATTAATTGAGTTATTAGCCTCGAACACCCAACAGGTGATTTATAAAGTCTCAGCTAAATGAGGGAAAATTACCCCAGGTTTGGTCACTGTTTGTCGTAAACTTTGAAAGAATTACAGTTCCTTCTCCTTAATGGCTAGCTCTAATTTTAGAGAAAATCTTTGAACGATTACATCTCCAGAAGAATGAAGTCTGTGGTCCTGATCCTGCTTTTGTTAGTTTATTGGAGATTTTCTGTAATTTATATTATAGAAAAGAACTGTGTTTAGCTATAGGAATGTAACAGAGAGTAGCACTGGACCTTTGAGGGCTGGGTCAAGCTGGAAGTGACCCTGGCTTACTTGAAGAGGAACTCTTCCAGAAAGCTTCCTGACTAACCTACATGGCAGTTCACTCAGCCTGTAGAGACCACTGTGTGCTGAAAGAGCATCAAGAAGATTTAATAAAGTGTCAAAGTGCTTCTAAAAACATGGTTAGAGCAGTGATTTCCTGGATACACATGCACCACAACAAATGGCCTCATCTCAGCTGATATTAAAGCAATAACTCTTTGACACTTCATGCTACCCACTGAAAGAAAGATAAAGGTCAATATGTACCTCCATTACAACTTTCTGCATTTCAATATCAGGCCATTTTATTGCTGTCGCAGCACAGATGGCTCACCTTTCTTCCTTACTCTTGGTAGAATTTGATTCTGTCAGCTTAAGTTGCGTTATTTGTGCGGTGAAATTGAGAAGAAATTGTCTTTTTCTGGTTGGGCAGTATCTCCAGCTGTGGTTTTCAGATGCCTAATGGTTATTTTGCCTCGCTTGTGTTTGACATCACCATTGTCAAGCCTGCTTACAATTTTAGATCTAAGTGGTAGAAAAATCTAATAGAACAAGTTTGTTCTTTGGGGAACGTAAAATATAGCTACCTGAGGCTATGAGTGGTACAAATACAGTTAGTTATTACCTTGCTCCAGCTTTCTCTTCTCTTTTCTGCTCAGAAATAAACAATTTTTCTTCACTTTCAAGGCCATTCACAGTTTAGCCTCTTCTGATCAGCACAATTCAAGCATTTTTTTTGCTCACTTCTTAGATTTCATCATAAGAATCTTTCTGTTTCCTGGTACCATCCACAAGGCAACAGCAGGTTATTTTTCCAATCCCATTGAAACCCTCTTTTCATCACGATGTGTGCCAAAAAGTTGTCAGAGGCTGATGATGGTCTAAGGCAGCTGTTTATCAAGCCTATCAATATTGTCACATTTTTTGTTTTATTATGCATTTTTCTGTATCCACGTGTGATATCTTGTTTTATGTTTAGATTGCAGACTCCTTGGGTTCAAAATGTACTTTTTATTCTGCACATGTACACTACTTAGCATAGAAGGGTTCTGGACCATTGTAGAAATACCAAGCATGATACAAGTAGAAGTAAAGCATCTAATGCAAAATAGCAAGAATTGGGATAAAGAATTATTATTCTCACTGTATTAAAAGTATCTGTGTTATTTGTACTACTCATTTTCATATGTAAGTAACTAAAACGTCTCCTTTTTGAAATGCATATAAAGCTTGTGTAGAATATCAAGTCTGTAATCCCAAAGTGATACAAAATCCAGGGGAATTTCAGTAGGATTTAGATTTACACATCACTTGTTAAGGAAGTACAGAAGAGCATGACAACTGCAAAGATTTCTTCTGTTTGTAACGTACACCAAGATACCTCCTGCAGTTAGGTAGTCTGAGTACTGCCAGAAGTATTTTAGAGCACAGTTACACTAAAACAGCTGGGAAAATTAAGTGCTTTAAAAATACACAGTATATGCACAAACCAATGACATGCTTTTCAATTTGTGAAGATCCCAAACATGGGATATAGTCTTGGACAAACAACCAAGACAAAGGGAATTGAGAGAAAAATCTTACTGGAAATAGCCAGTGGCAATGTTATTAGCATTTAAAATGTCTGTAACTTCATTTTGTTTTAAAATTTGTAATAACATTTCTGCAAGGCAGTGAAACTCAGCTCAGCGGAGAACAGGCAGGATTTGAGTGAGAAACAGTTGAGATGTATGACTGTATGCTATACTGATAGGAACGTTTCTGTGATTCAAATATCCTTCAGAGAGGCCTTGAAGGAAGATAACAAGAGCTGACCTTTTTCTGTTAACCGACAACAAGGGAGAAAAAGGAGTTTTGATTTGTGTTTGTTTCAGTGAGTTGCAAACGGTGCTTGTGCTCTGCTGCTCCTGAGTAGAAACATTGATTTGACTTTCTCACACGTGGTTTTGTTCTGGATTTAAGTATGGTCTGTTCAAAAGTGATATGTGTTGTACTAAATTCTTGCTGCCGGTCTCAGGGCCCTGACACACCAGACTCTGCTGTCATAATAATATCCTCTCTGGGACTTCTGCTTTGCCACGTTACCCTACAAAGGCCTCAAAGACAAGCCGTTAGCTTTTGTGTGTGGTACAGTAGCATGCTGTGCAGGCTGCTATTAGAGGAGAGTCACTGTACTGTGCCACATCGTATTCTTGCAAGGCTGCCATGTTTCTCGCAGGGTTACTTCATTAGCAATTGTTAAAGGTCCTGGAATCCCACATGTCCCTATTTCCTGATTTAAAGCACAGCTTCAATTATTAGTGAAGTAGTTCAGGGATTTCTGGGTTTGGGAGACTTCTGTGAAAACAAGTTAAAGTGACACTCATCCTCTTGGCTTCTGCTTCCATGTCAGCTGCTTATATGCTCATAATTTATTTAGTGAGTTGCTGCTCAAAGCTTTTTAGGAGACTCTCGTGTGGTGCGTTCTGTCCAGCTCACAGCTGGGT